CGAAATTTCCATATCGGAAGTAATGGGAGAGGCCATTCGTTTCTAATTGTCGGCAAAGGTTATTTTATTCGAGTGACTGCGTGGTGTAGCAGAAAAACGCATGGCGAATTAACTCGACAGACTTGAGGTCGAATCTCGGCGCGGACAGAACTTATTTTGTTTGTTGGAAACAGATTTGCAGGTTCATTTAGAAGAGTAATATTGAGGAACCTTTACAAATAATGCGAGAAAATATGTGGTGTTGTGACGTACTACGGGGAGAAGTGTATTCTGTGCACGTTTTCGTAATTCTGGGATCCCTATAATAGCCATATTCAAGTTGAATTCTGAATACAGAAAGAAATGAGCGTTTTGGAAAGAATTGAAAATAAAATATTCGCTCCGATGTAATAAAATCTATTTTCAAGGGCAAATCAGCTATAGATTTGGGCCCTTATCCCTCATTATGCACTTCGTGCAGGAATATACTTTCTGCCGCGACAACATTGAGAACGATAATTTGAATAACTAAATTTTTCTCTTAACACTAGAAAACGTGCACAGATAGTGAAGTTACATTTATGTCCAGATGCAAAACAAGAGACCAACTCGCATTCGCTCAAAGATCAGAGAAACTGGACGAAAAACCTGATCGAGATGGGAGGGGGGTCATTGACTCTGAGTAAGCTAAGGAACAATATCTGTTGTTTAGAATAATACAATCCAAATGGTAAATAATACATTAAATGTCCTGTCCTGTCCGTTGGCTCGACAGCTCGTTACGGGCATTGACCGACCAGCAAACTATTTTGCTTACTGTTTTGGTCTCCGCTATAGTCTCTAATTGTATAGAAACAGTTATGTAGCAGAAACAAAAATACTTGGGACATAAACTTTTGTGTCGATCTTAATCGTTTAATGTCATCTGGCAAAGTGTTGTAAAATAATGTTCATATATTGAATGTGATTTTTTCGTTGTGAGCTGTTGACACCGTCACCTGATGAATATGATTACTACGTTGAGTGATCGTCACAGCTTCTATAATTACAGACATCGACGTTTGCTGAAAATATATTCCCACCCTTGAGTAACTTGTTTTAGACAAAAACCAGTTTATTCGTAAAGAAAGAGACAAGGTAAAGGTAAAATTCCTAGAATCACGTGAATCATTTGCTTATTATTCATACAAATCGTTTCTCTACTCTAAAAGTCTGGGAGCTGCAAAATGTATTTCCCCAAAATATTAAGCCATATCTCTGATCGAAAATATATTTGTAAAATATACGAAGAGATTGTTCAGTGATATTGATTGCTATCACAGCAGCTCTGACTCGGAGGAGCTGGGGCTCGAGTCGCGAAGGCGACGGATTTTCGACTCGTGCTATATAGCTACGTCGAATTCAACCACTGCCTGGTGGGAGACATCTATCGGACGGGTGTTCTGATAGGCAGTATTCCGTAATTTCTCTTCTCAATAACAGAAAAATGCCGGAACACTTCTCGGACAAACGGGCCTTGGATGGCGCACGTTCATTTCTTCTACATCCATGTCAACTCTCCGCTACACGCAAACACACACACACACACACACACACACACACACACACACACACACACACACACACACACTCACAGAATTGCATTCACATGTCAGGAGACCAGTTAGAAGTTGTGTTTATCCCGGCTAGAGCAGAGTCCCGCTTGGGGAAATACCTGCCTTAGAGAATCGCACAAACCGACATATAGACGTATATCACTGGACCTGAGGTTCCTCTGGGTGGAGGAACACCGCCACCTCCCGGCTATAACATGTATTACACTCATGGGACTAATGACAAAAGGATACGACGCACCCGCAAATGCTAAATACTCACTCACCGCCATGTCCTGTAAACATCCATGCCTCCTGGAGATTCGAGGCCTACTGTTCCGTGGACTAAAAAGTAATACCAAGTAGTACGCTGACCAACAGTAATAGACATTTCTTATACACGCGTGATAAATTCATTTAAATTGGTACTTTTGTACCAAGTTGGTACTAGGTTGTGCATTTGTTGGTTGTTTTGGATTTTGTAAAATTCGAATTTTAAAAAATTCCCCTTAATATTTAATTTAAGAACTGAACTGTTATTAATTTTATGCAAATTGAATATTGTAATTCCGGGATATTATTGTTCTCTCTTAAAATGGAATTCTCCGTATGTATGTTTGAACGCATAGATCGTTCCATTCTGACGTGTTAAATTTAGGACACCTTACATACCACTGATTTTATAATTTGAGGACGTTGAAGTTTCACTATTCGTGTTGTAGTAATCTGTAGTTGTAGTGTAACTGTTTGTGTAAATATGTTATAATTTGTTTCTACGCTGATTGCACGCAAAGTGCTCGTAAACAATGTCACACTACGTTCCTATGATAACGACTATGACCCACTTAGAATGTACTAACTACCATCTCCTTCAAACTTATCTTTATTAGTACTCCATTCACGTCCTATTAACGCCTTTTAAACCTCCACGGATCATTATGCACGCATGGCCTCTTTTCTTCTTACAAATTTTGGCAATATGTTATAGACAAAAACTAGAAGATGAAATAATAAAAATTGTATCAATAATATTAATCAATAAAGGCAATTAATGATCTTCAAAGAAGAATATGAATGTTTTGAATTTTTAATTCGTTAATTTTAATTCATTAACTGAAAGTACAACTTGAGATAGAATCAATATGTCGGGTTCTTTATCAAATGATTCTTTTTCTTCCTCGCCTTACAGCGTAAGAAGTGTTGTATCCGCGCGCCAGAATCGCGGGCGATTTTTCGACAGGAAAACTCTTACTGCCGGGTCGTAGAAATGAAAAAGAAAATTACATCTACTTAAATTTACGTAAAATTTCTTATATAGTCAAAATCCATGTTTTCTGGGTCATTGATACACAAAATCGATTGAAAGCAAAACGTCCGGCCGTCCGTTCGGCCGGTTGACAGCCCCTGAAATTTTTGAAAAACGAATAGTTTTTGCGAAATTTCCGCTTGAAATTAATAGATTTTATAAAAAAATATTTTTTTTAAAAAACCACTCAAAAGTTTTTTTTAAAATAATTTTTCTACAAATAGAACAAGCGACTCTTAAAAACATGCAAGTCCCGGTTTCGTTGAACTCTCTCAATTTTCGAAAATGGTTCAGTTTGGAATAATGCGAGAAAGTATGTGCTGTTGAAGCATCGCTAGTTTTGATTACAATTTTGTTCTCGCGTAATTTAAAGAACGCTTAAAAATGTCACAGGTTTCATTTTCAATCTCTGAACTTTCGAAAATTGCAATATTTTTGGGGGGCCTTCCCATAACTTCAATATTGGAGATAAGGATTTTTTTCCTGAGTGATACCTGATGTTCAAAGATGTTGAGATAAGGTAATGTACAATTTTTTCGCAGTTACGAATCGTTTTCACCCAATAGAAATAGATGTTTTTTTAAAAAACAATAATTTTATCACAGCGGCTCAAAATGTTTTTCTTTACATTTTTCCCTCACATGTATCAAACAATGCAAAAAAATATTGACTTCGGCGAGTTCTTTGTAGTTTAGAAAATTGCTTTACAAAAGTACAATATTTATGATAGATATTTTTTCTTAAATTATATCTGTTCTGAAAAATAGATCTTTAAAGAAGGTTGTGTACATTTAAATAGTTTTCGTGTAACCTCTGCTTGAAAGTAATGCAATTTACAAAAACGTGTTTCTCAAAAAGACTTAATTTAAACGAATGATTTCCACGGATAGCAAAAAGGGCGCTTAAAATTGGCGTAGGTTCTATTTTCGGCGCACTCTATATATTCGAAAGCTGCAAGAAAATTAACATATAAAAACTTCAACATTGTTGAGAGAGATATTTTTTCCTTAAAGAAATTTGTTCTTTAAAACTAAATCCTGAAATTATGAAAATGCGATAAAGTATGCTCTTCTGTAGTACTTTTGGTGATAATTTCTTCCAGTTTATTTGTGGCAAAGTTAGTTTTTAATACTCCCTCCAATGTACGTATCACAAGTTTATTTATGCATTTATATGCAAATTCGTTTCGATTTACATCGTGCTTTTGGCGTGCTCTTTCTTACACGAAATATATTTCTGATTTTTTCTGTGCTGAGGCTGCCAGTCAGAAAGTCAATGTTTTTGAAATGACATTCAGTGACGCCGCCCCAGTATGACGTCAGTAGAGAGCAGATTCCGCGAATTCTAACTGAAGCCGGCGGTGATTCGAGTCGTCGATATGAACATTGTCCTCTAGCAAACTTTTTATTTATTCTTTAAGTTTAGGCAACATCAAAGCTGAAGTATGTAACTTCGAAGAACAGTCAAATAAACAAAAGTATTTAATGCAAAAAAAATTAAAGGGTATATAACTTTAATATTTCAATGAAACTCAGTAGAATGAAATAGCTTTCAAAATAATGTTAATTATCTAAATGAGGTTGAAAACAGTTAATTGTTTTTCTTTAATTGGACAGGCGTAAGCCAATTAAAATTTTACCAGCCTAGGCTGAAAAAGTCCAAGTTTAAGGGAAAAAAGAGTCCGAGACATGCAACTTAGGAGAGTGCTTTAAAAACAATAAAAATGTAAAATGGACATAAAAATTAATAATATAATTAGAGGTGGGACATTTGCATGCTCCTAGGAATTCTTCGAATCCTTCCAATCATATTTCTTTAATATTTGTATTCTCCTTGAACTTCGTATTGAAATAAATATAAATGAACTGCGAGCTTGGAGTACAATTATTTATTCTTAATACATATATATTTTATTTATTTTTAGATTTAAGAACTCTAATAGTAAAAAGAAAGAAATTACTTAGTTGCAATTAAATATATTATTAAATACCGTAGTCTTGTAGTAATTCACGAAAATTTTCCTTCTTAAACAAAGTGCAATAAAGGATTCGAGAAATATAAGGGATCATGTATTAGATTAGAACGCAAGAGAAGTTAATATTCATCCCACCTCTAAATATATCATGGGTAAATCAATTTTTGTCATATGATATTAGGAAGAAAGCGTATGTGAACTAAGGCGAACCTTCACTTCAAATTCGAAACGCATATTTTGCTCAATGCTATCCCATTTTCTAAACCTGGGTTACAAGAAGCGCCATTTTCGAGAAAACTTTTCGGTAGAACTAGGTATTAAGAAACATATCATACGATTTCTTCTCGTATTTTCCAGAATTCCTTTAAAGAAATATGACACATATTCTGCATACCACATGTTACAGCGTCGCGCACGTCGCAAGTCTCCGTCCGTTTCCGCAGCCGCTCGCCACAAGAAAGGTCAACGAAGTGGCTCTTCGCGATCCTGTCCGGGGAATGGTTGGGAGGTGAATCGAACATGAAACGTTTCGTTGGCGCACCTCCGGGTTTCACTTAGTCCCAAGAAATTCCACTCAAGGATCGGCCTCCAACCCAATTCTAATTCCCGATCATTTTACTCTTCAGTTCGCCCACGAATGTACAAAGCACAAATTATATGCTAAATGTATTCAGTACCTATTTTCGATCTCCTTTCAAGGATTTAAAAGATAAAATACTCTACTCAAATCAACCTGCATTCCGGGTCTTTCATATTTACGAGTCACAGCCCAAGGGGGCGTCCTTTCTCTTTCTTGTCGTAACGCCCTGTCAGCGCTCCACGAAAACAAACATGGCGCCCGCCCTTCAAACGCATCGCGTAACTCGGGTCGCGGAGGTCTCCGTAGTTTCACTTGAAACGCCGCAGTTCGCAAGCATGGCGACCATGTTCGAGACGTCCCTGCGCCCGCAGCGGTGGCAACGGAGGTGGCGGTGGTGGCGACGACGGCGGGCCTGGTGGCCGAGGGCCCCCGGGAGCTAAATCCGCCCCCGGAAGGCCGGCCG